GAAGTTAGGGGCATTGGGCCCGCAAGGGAGCAGTTAGGTGTTGATCAGGCTGACAGAAGAGTGGTTAGGGGCAGTCAGTCAGGCAGGCAGGCAGGCAGGCAGGCAAGAGGTTGGGAGCCAGTAGTCCTGGATTGTGAGAGGGTGCAGGCTGGGGTGAGGGACACACACACCTTCCCCCTGCCCCATGCACGAATTTCATGCACCAGGCCTCTAGTTTTGAAATAATAACCATAAGGTGACTAACATAAACACCATTTTATTATTTCATTCCCCAAATTGATGAAGTGATTTGCTAAAATTGCAAAAATCCTCAGATTTCAAGTATCTATCAAAGTGGGGTTTTTTTCCAAAATAATGTTAATGATAACAAAAATTCTCAGATATTTTGAGGCACTTGATGAGGAAATGAATCAGCAACCTTTGGGTACACAGGACAACACCCAACCAACTGAACCACACTGGACAATGCTCATCTGCTTACTTTTATAAATATATCTGCTTCTTTATATATTACTAGTGGCCCGTTGCACGAAGATTCACTCAATAGGCCTTCCTTCCCCTGGCTGCCGGCACCTGTTTTCCTCTGGCATCCGGGACCCAGGCCTTTGGTCCAGCCGCAGCAGCAAGGCTTGGCTTTTCTGCTCCGGCTGCTCTCAGCCCCTCCTTTTTTTTTTTCCAGCTCCTTGAGTGGAGACCAGAGCTGGCTGGAAGGCTGGGTCTGCCCCAGCAACCCAGGCCCCTAGCCACTCCTTGAGCAGAGCCCAGGGTGGGCTGGAGGCCTGGGTCGCCCCCAGGGACCCAGGTCCCCAGCCCCTCCTTGAGTGGAGTACAGGGCCAGCAGGAAGCTTGGCTTTCTCCATCACCAGGAGCAACCCAAGCCTCCTGCTCGCTCTAGTTCCATTGCCACCACCATCTTCAGTCATCTTCAGACTTTGCTCTGTGCCTGTGTATGCAAATTAACCGCCATCTTTGTTGGGTTAATTTGCATAGTTCCTCTAATTGGCTGGTGGGTGTAGTGAAGTGGCAGAGTGGTGGAGTGATGCTTAATTTGCATGTTTCTATTTTATTAGTGTAGACTAGTGGCCCAGTGCACAAAATTTATGCACGGTGGGGGTGTGTTTCTCAGTCCAGCCTGCACTCTCTCCAATCTGGGATCCTTCAGGGGATGGCCAACTGTTGGTTTAGGCCCAATCTGAATGCCCCTGCCAGACTGATCACCCCCAACTTCCCCCCACTGCCAGCCTGCTCATCCCCAACTTGTCCCCCCTGCCAGCCTGCTCACCTCCAACTGCCCCCCTCACTAGCCTGATCACTCCCAACTGCCCTGCCCACCCTGGCCTGCACCCTCTCCAATCTGGGACCGCTCAGTGGATGTCTGACTGTCAGTTTAGGCCCAATCTGAACTCTCCTGCCAGCCTGTTCACTCCCAACTGCCCCCCCTCCCGCCAGCCTGATCACCCCCAACTGCCCTCCCCTCCTGGCCTGATCACCCCTAACCACTCTGCCTCTTCCCCGCCACCATGGCATTGTCAGGAAGGATGTCCGGAAGGTCTCCTGGAAGGTCTCCTGGTCTAATTAGCATATTACCTTTTTATTAGTATAGATAAGTGTTCAGTAAGTATAAAAATAGAAATGATAATTTGCCAAATATTAATCATTCAAAAATAACCATCATTAACACTAAATGCATACCATTAGCATATGTATATATACAGAAGGAGAGCTAGAATAGTTAATAACTTTATAAATATAGATTGTATGAATTTTTAAACAAAACTTTAAATTTTACCTATTTTAACTAAAGACAAATTAAAATGAATCTATTACCTATATTTAACTGTAGATATATATAGTTATATCTTAGTTATTTTTCTCTGAAAGATGTCATCAAAATTAAGAATTAATATATGTATGCATAGTGTTAAAATATTTTCAATTGTTTTCCATCTTTATCATTTTCTAATTGTTCTAATCAATTTTTATTTCTCTGAAATTGCCCCAAATTGTCCATAAATTTGTATATTCACTTTTTCAACATGAGCATTGCTCACTGTTTCTAATTTATCTTTTATGTGCTATATTTAATAATATTTCAACAGCTCACCTATATTGTTTATCACTTCTTTTTATTTTACAATCAATTTTTGATCTCTTATTCATAACCCTTAACTTCTTATTGCAAGTTTATCTATAAGATATATGTGAATTTCAATATTAAATATCTACCTATAAATGGTAAAAAGTTTGAATGATTTGGAGAGATAGGCTTTTATCACCAGTGTAGTTTACCTTAAATGTATTTAAGCAAACCATGTGAAATTTCTGTTTTGACCCTACCTATATTTTAATTCCATTAAAAGTGTAGATGATTATTCTTTCTTGTTATGCACAAAAAAAGAACACAGTACCCCTTGCTGCTGGATCTACTGTACCACATTCACTGCTGAGTGAGGATGACCTCATTTCTCCTTCCCCAATCCCAACAGTGTCCTGCTCACACTATGACATCTCTTCAAAAACAACTTACCTTCTGTCATCTTCATGTTTCCAGAAACAGAGAGAAATATACTAATTCTGCCTCAGGCACAAAATGTCAAGTGAAGACAAATTCCCATTCAACTACATCCCTACACCCATTATTGTTTTGAGAGACCATTAGAGATATTAGCTCTATAACTCTGATTACTATGATTCCATAATAGTTAGGGGCTCAAATTCTAGAAATTTATTTCTATTTACCTTGAAAACTCAAATTCCATCTCCTTGCCATTTCTAAAATTACCCTAGTACCTTCATCCAATTTTGACATTGCCAATAGAGACAATGTCCTTTGCATCACAAACACACAAGTATGTGCAATGGAGGAATCTCAGACTCTGGAAAAATAACTAATCTATGTTCACTACCAATTTCTTGTGCCTATCATTATTAATTAGTCAGACATTAGGGTCCATGCTTATGATTTTTAATGGATGTTTTCCCACAATATGGGTTAGCCACAATCTTGGCCTTAGAGGAATCCTTAAAAATCACACTTCAAGCAATATTAAATTTCCTTCTTGAAAACAAAATGAGGCTTATTCCTTTTTTCTATGTTTACATTTGACCAAATGTAAAACAATTTACATTGTGTCAAAAATTTATTTCTTCCATACCCTCCCCTTTACAACTCTTAAAATACCATTCCATCAGCAAAGTTCGTGTCACAACTAGAATTAAATGTTTCCTCAACACATCTATGAATAACATGTTAGGCAAAGGTATCATATACTTACAACTTCAATGAAAACAAAGCTCTAATTTCTGTCTGTCTTTGTCTACCAGCTATAAAGAGAATGCTATGAGGTTATCAAGCATTCACCATGATCAACCTATAAAGCCCTTGGATCGAGCGGTCTTCTGGATTGAGTTTGTCATGCGCCACAAAGGAGCCAAACACCTGCGGCCAGCTGCTCACAACCTCACTTGGTTCCAGTACCACTCTTTGGATGTCATTGGGTTCCTGCTGGCCTGTGTGGCAACTGCTATATTTTTGGTCACAAAATGTTGCTTATTTTCTTGTCAAAAATTTGGTAGAACAGGAAACAAGAAAAAGAGGGAATAGATCATTCTCAGGGTGGTACAGGTCTGAGTGGGCAATCTTGTTCTGTTTAGCCACAATGATCTTCATGAAAACATATCATCTTCATCATGTTTTCAAAATTCCCATTTCTCTCCCTTAGCCTACAGATAAAGCCTAGAATTTGACAATACCATCAACTAGTGAGCATGTCCTGTTCTTCCTTTGTCTTTTGCCAGATGACTTTACCCTCTTCCTCTCACTTTCCTGACACAGAGACACTAATAGTTTTATGTAGATTCTATACACAATATTATCATTATTTTTTAACCTTAAGTGGTATGCTGACTAACAATATGCTAAATCCTGGGGAACACACAAAATGAGAGCTAAGTTTGATGGATGTAGGGAACATGGAAGAATAAAATTCACAAATTCACCTAGAACATACAAATCAGAGAAACATCATAGAAGATTAGTATGTTATAAGAATAGTACTGATTTTTTTTCTGCTTTCCCAATGTTACTGGAGTCAGAGCATGAAATGATAATAACTTGGATGGCACATCACACTAGGATAGGTCTACAAATTTCCACTGAACACATGCATAATCTTGGCTCACATTCCACCTTTAGTCAATAAGTATATTGGGTACCTTCTTGTGCAAGGGCCTTCAAACAAAAGAGATCAATTAGTCATTTTTTCTACAGGACAGAATGTAGCAATATGTTAAAAGTAAGCAAATCACTTTTAGAGGAAATAATAATACTAAATATAAATTTATTAATTTTATAAAAATTTTAATTAACAGTTCAATTAATAAAGAAGTGAAATGTCAATTTATCATATTTAAAAATCACTAATGCTCATAATCTTTAATCACTATCATCAAAGGTTTACTTTTGTCAACAAAACAAACATTTACTGGGAATATATGATCATTATATTCTGTTTCAGTCTCTATCATCTACAAATTTAAATTCATCAATTACTTATTATGCCAAGAAGATATTAGTAGTTCTCCTTGACCATAAATGTTATAGTAAATATTTATCAATGCAAAAACTAATAAAAGGCAAATGTTCATATTTGAATCAGCTTTGCATTCATTTAACAAATAGATTAAGATTGAACTTTCTTTACCCTTTATAAACTCAACTAGAGGCCCGGTGCACAAAATTCGTGCAGGGGGGGGGGTCCCCTAAGCCCAGCCTGAACCCTCTCCAATCCAGGTTATTATGTTTTGAGAATAACTTTATTTTTGCTCTATACCTAGTTTATTTTCTGCAGTTAGTCTGCTCAGGTGCCATAACAAGATACTGCAGACTCAGGAGCATAAGCAACTGAAATTTATTTTTTCAAAATTCTGGAGGCTAGATATACAAGATAAAGATGCCAGCAGGGCCTGGCTGTGGTGGCTCAGTGATTGAGCATGGACCTATGAAGTATGAGGTCACTGTTCAATTTCCGTTAGGGCACATGCCTAGGTTGCAGGCTCAATTCCCAGTAGTGGGCGTGCAGGAGATGACAAATCAATGATTCTCTCATCTTCGATGTTTCTATCTCTCTCTCCCTCTCCTTTCCTCTCTGAAATCAATAAAGATATATTAAAAAATAAAGATGCCAGCAGAGCTAGTTTCTGGTGAGGTCTCCTTGCTGACTGCAGAGAGCAACCTTCACCCTTTTTCCTCTCATGGCCTTTCCTCTGTATGCCCCTGGTAAGAAAAAGATGCCTTATGTCTCTTGCTCTTCTTACAAGGCTACAAATCTTCTGCTATTAGAGTCTACCTTCATGACCTAATTTGATTGTAAATATCTTGTTAAAGGTCTTATCTCCAACAATAGTCACATTGGGAGTTAAGGCTTCAATATATAAATTTGAGAGTGTTATACAATTCAGTCCATGACAAGTTCTACAAAACAATTATGCCTGTTTTGACTTTAATCAACAAATATGTCTTGCATGCCTTTTATATACAAGGGACAGTTCTGAACATTTATTTTTTTAATAAATCTTTATTCAGATTATTATAGTTGTTCCTCTTTTTCCCCCCATAGCTCCCCTCCACCCGGTTCCTACCCCACCTCCTGTCCTTACCACCTCCACTGTCCTCTTCCATAGGTGTATGATTTTTGTCCAGTCTCTTCCTGCACCCCCATACCCCCTTCCCCCCGAGAATTGTCAGTCCACTTCCTTTCTATGCCTCTGATTCTATTCTATTCACCAGTTTATTCTGTTTGTCAGATTTTTTATTCACTTGATTTTTAGATTCACTTGTTGATTGATATGTATTTGTTGTCACTTTGTTGTTCATAATTTTTTATCTTTATCTTTTTTCTTCTTCCCCATCTTAAAGAATACCTTTAATACTTCATTTAATACTGGTTTGGTGGTGATGAACTCCTTTAGCTTTTTCTTCTCTGTGAAGCTCTTTATCTGACCTTCAATTCTGAATGATAGCTTTGCTGGGTAGAGTAATCTTGGTTGTGGCTTCTTGCTATTCACCACTTTGAATATTTCTTGCCACTCCCTCTGGCCTGCAAAGTTTCCGTTGAGAAATCAGCTGACAGTCATATGGGTACTCCCTTGTAGGTAACTAACTGTTTTTCTCTTGCTGCTTTTAAAATTCTTTCTTTGTCTTTTGCCCTTGGCATTTTAATTATGATGTGTCTTGGTGTGGTCCTCTTTGGATTCCTTTTGTTTGGGGTTCTCTGCACTTCCTGGACTTGTAAGTCTATTTGTTTCACCAAGTATGGGAAGTTTTCTGTCATTATTTCTTCAAATAGGTTTTCAATATCTTGCTCTCTCTCTTCTTCTGGAACCCCTATAATTCGGATGTTGGTATGCTTGAAGTTGTCCCAGAGGCTCCTTGCACTATCTTCATATTTTTGCATTCTTTTTTCCTTTTGCTTTTCCAGTTGGGTGTTTTTTGCTTCTTCGTATTTCAAATCTTTGACTTGATTCTTGGCATCCTCTAGTCTGGTTGGATCTCTGTATATTATTCTTTATTTCGTTAGTGTATGCTTAATTTCTGATTGGTCCTTTTTCATATCCTTGAGGGTCACACTATATTTCTTGGAGGTTTCTAAAAGATTCTTGAGTAACCTTATAACTGTGGTTTTGAACTCTATATCCAGTAGTTTGCTTTCCTCCATTTCTGTCATTTGTGACCTGTTTCTTTGTCTCTGCATTTTGGCTGCTTCCCTGTGTTGATAGAGTGGCTTTGTGTGATAAGTGTCCTATAGGGCCCGGTGGCTCAGCCTTCCCAGTCATCTGAGGTGGACACTCTTGGTGCACCCCTTTGTGGGCTGTGTGCACAGGCTTGTTGTAGTTAAGCCTTGATTGCTGTTGGTATCACTGGGAGGAATTGACCTCCAGGTCAATTGGTTGTGCGGACCAGTTGAGTCTACAGTGGGAGAATGTCTGTGTTGGAGACACCCGTATGGGGCAGGACATGATTCAGTGGGGCTTCAGCACTCACTGAGTCTGTCCCCTGAGTGTGTCTCTTATGGATGTGGAGAGTTGTAATCTGAATGGTCTCACTCTGACCACTGGGTAGAGTGGCTCTTGTATCTCCAAGGAGATGCAAAGTCAGCCACTGCCTGAGGCCACCCAGCAGGAGCTACAGAGAGATCTGCAGATTCCTCTTCTTTGTTTGGGGTTTGGAGGTGCCCAGATGAGGTGCAGCTGTGAAGTAATGCAGGCTACTAATGAGCCTTAGGCCTTCTTTTGGAAGGTCTGGGGTTCTCTGACCCAGCTACAGTTTGACAGGTTTTTAGATGGAGAAAGGCCAGGCCATCCGTATGCAAAAGCCTCTACGTACAGCTTGGGTGGGGTTGTAAATTGAGTGGGGCAGGGTCTCAGGGAATCACCAGGGTGGAGCAAACTGCAATGGCTTCCAGTCTGCTCTGCCTTGGAGAGGTCCCGGGATCTGTGTCCTGTGCCCATGCAGGAACAATGAACGCTGCAAACACCTCTGCGAGAAAGCCACCCTCACATTTCGACCCAATGCCAGACAGTCCAGTTTCTCTCCGTATGAGTCTGGGTCCCCAAATTCTCACCCAGAACTGAAGTTCAGAGCATTCAGGAGCTTGTATCTCCACCCCAATTGAAAAAGACAACAGTGTACCCAGCTGCCAGCCCCTTTTGTGCATGCCTCCATACCTCCACACTTCCACACCTCTGCACCTCCTACTGGACTCAATGCACTTTTCTCTTTCCTTCTGGTTGTAGAATTTCCACTCTGCCAGCCTTCCTGTGGTTCTGGATGATATTCGTTTTTTCTTTTAGTTGTAGTTTTAACGTGGTTGTGTGTGGCAGCAAGTTCATGTGTTTAGCTATGCCGCCATCTTGGTTGTCTCTTGAGTTGTAACCTTTTCGCTGGTGGAAGTTTGTGCCTTCTGTTTCTCTGAGCATTTCTTTAAACAATAAGGATAACCAATGGAATGATTTTTTTCCCCAATAAGTGAAGATGTCAGTAATGTTTTAAAAGTAAAGAGATTATTTTAAGAGAAATAAAGAATTATAGAAAAATTGTTTTATTAATTTTAATGAGATTTTTAAAGACCAGTACAATTGATAATCTGAAAGTTAAATGTCAATTCATTATATTTAAAAATCACTGGTATTCATAATTTAGTAATAATACTATATAATCAAAGAAATCATTTCCTACAAAAAAACTCATATACTCTGAATGCAAGATCATTGTAATTTTTTCCAGTCTCTATGTTCTACAAGTATAATTCATTACATGTGGTTTCATTCATATGTGGAATATAAGACAAAAAGTAACAAATGAACAAATATAACAAAACATAGAAAAAGAAAAACTCATAGCCCAGATGGCATGGTTCAGTGGTTACACGTTGACCTATGGGCCAGGAAGTCACAGTTTGATTCTGGGTCAGGGCACATGCCCAGGGTTGTGGGCTCGATCCCTGGTGTTGGATGTGCAGGAAGCAGCGATCAGTGATTCTCTCTCATTATTGATGTTTCTATCTCTCTACCCTTCTCGCTTCCTCTCTGAAATCAATAAAAATATATATATTTTTTAAAAATCATAGAAACAGACAATAGAATGGGAATTACCAGAGGGAAAATAGATGAGGGAAGGGCAAAATGGTAAAGGGGATCAAATATATAGTAACAGATAGGAACTAGACTTGGTAGTGAGCATGTAATAGAGTACACAGATATCAAATTATAATGTAGTTGTCCACCTGAACTTTATGTTATTAACCAATGTTATCTAAATTTAATAAATCAACAAATACTAAATAAATCTTTGACAAATCCTAATATGGGAATCAGGATTTGGAAGTAAAGCCACACCATATTTTCCTGACTATTCTTCTGCATTTGAGAAACAGCTCCTGGATTTTTACTGAGCTCTGGTAGAGATTAAATGGATGAGATGCAGATTAGTAGGGCACCACTGAATACTCTGATGTCCAATAATAAAAGTCATTAGAAAGCTGTAACAAACCAATAAAAACAGGTTACATTGATTCTGAGTGAATAAAGGTTTAGATCATACCACCAACTAAAGAACCCTGAGCAGAGGAGGAGCTGCCAAGTATAAAGGTACCTTCTGTGTTTGGGTTACCTGTTTCTTGGGTCATACCACCATGGTAGGGGGAGATGTGGCAGGTCGCAGGGTAATCAGGTTCGTGAGCCTGCCATCCTGCTACCTGGTTTCCATTAGCTTCTGGCACCACTGTACTGTGAGCAGGATGTCAGAGAGACATCTCCTGGGACCAGGCTACCCAGTAATGCAAAGTAAGGGGAGCACCACTGCAATCTGGGGAGGGAGCTGAATTCATAGGCTCCAGAGCTGTTGCTGCGCCTCTTATCTTCCCCCCATGATGGTGTCAAGGCTACTCCCTGACACTCTTCCCCTACTGCATTTTCTGGGTCTGCCAGCTCATCTGTGGAAAGCCATGGAACCAGGATTGTGTGTACCATCCCTGTCCTTCCCCTGTCTTGCTGACCTATGCATTCCAATACACCCACCTTCAGATAAACTGATGTGTGGATCTCACAGGTGCCCTGATGAGCAGAGAACCTTTGTTAGGTT